TTTTGTTTTTTTTTTTTTTGTTTTTTTTTTTTTTTTTTTTTTTTTTGTTTTTTGTTTTTTTGGGGGGGGGGGGGTTCGTTCTTTTTTCTCTTCGACGTTTTTTTTCGTGTTTGCGTTTTTGTTCTTAACATTTCTTTTTTTCTTTTTGTTTTGTTTGGTTCTTTCGTTCTTTTTGTACAAGGATCACACGAGCTGTGGGTATTTATATAATGAGAGACATAAATAAAAAAAAACAGAATGAAAACGGTGCTCGGTAAAAGATACTGTGGGTAACACTCACATAGACCTCTTCCCATTGCGAGACATACCGCACCAGTCTTGACAACCGTAGTAACCTAACGAGCGACAACAGTTTCGCAAGTCTGAGGATCCTGAGAGCACGGCCAGCATGCAGGATCTGGAAGGACTCGCTAAAGTCCTGAAACTGAAAGACACGGGGGGTCGCTGTTACGTTAAGATTCGGCGGCAAATGACAACTTGATCTTATCGCGACATTAGGTCATTTATTAACCGTTAATTGGTATGACACGAGTGATATAACATTGTATTTCTATTTTATTTTCTAATAAATGTTTCGTTTTCCACGTTTTTCTTTATTTTATAGGCTAGTTAAGAATAACATATAATCGATGCTCTTTTTATTTGTTATAATGCCCTTTTATTTTATAATGCCCTGCATTTATACAGAACGTAAATTCTTCTAAACTTTATATTGTTCGAAATTTTACTCGTTGTTGTTATAAATGGACAGAATTCACAGTCCAGTCATGGGTGACGTCACTAAGTGATTTATTCCCAGATCAAAATTACGAGCAAGTTTATGTCATTAGATTTTTCATTGTAAATAGAAAATACTCTACCAAATTCTGATATTTGTTGATATTGAGCATATAATAAAAACAAGAAGACTATTCCGATAAAAATGGTACATATTTAATAAAACTAATAAGAAGCTTCTGTCTTTAATAAACAAAATCAAACAAAACACATAATTTCACTTGACTAAAATGAAAAAAAGCTTAGAAAACAGAGACAATTAAATAATAACAATTCTCATCAAAGTGATTATAACTCGTAACATTTCGTTTGGAAATAAACGGGGGCTGCTTGAAATCGTATAATATTGAATAAAAAAACGATCAAAACGATCCGATCGATTTAATTCCAATTGCACTTTATTGTTTTCAGATTACACTCTCAAAAATGTATACTTTAAAGTTATGAGAAATTTTGAGACCTCTTTATAAATCATTATTATCATATCAATTATTGATATGTTTCGTCTTGGACGAATTTAATTGGTTGGTGCGTGGACTCGCGCGAAAAACGAGGAGATTAATTATATAAAAGCAGCCCATTATACCGCGGAAGGGAAACGACGCCGGCAAACGGATTAAAACAAAGAACACGTGCCCCGGGGCGCGGACATATTAATATGCACTTACTTGATTAAATATGAGGAAAATGTAGTCTAGTGGTATGGAGGAAATGAGGTCGAGAAAGAACCAAGTCCTGAGGTAGTGTTTCGCGATTAACTTCGGGTCTAGGATCACTTGTTCGGCATTGTCCTGCTGCATTATACCTGAAAACAGATGTGAGAGGAAAACGTGATTAAGATTACATTCTAAAATCAAGATGTTATCGTGAATAATTTATGTATGCTTGAATTTGAGCGATTAAATATTGTGTAATAGACCTTGTTACAGTAATTAAATATAGTTAAATATATATAGTAATATATATTTAAAATATAGTTAAATATGTATAGTAATATATATAGTTAAAATATAGTTAAATATATATAGTAATATATATTTAAAATATAGTTAAATATGTATAGTAATATATATAGTTAAAATATAGTTAAATATATATAGTAATATATATTTAAAATATAGTTAAATATGTATAGTAATATATATAGTTAAAATATAGTTAAATATATATAGTAATATATATTTAAAATATAGTTAAATATGTATAGTAATATATATAGTTAAAATATAGTTAAATATATATAGTAATATAGATTTAAAATGTAGTTAAATTATAGTTAAATATATATAGTAATATATACAGTTAAAATATAATTAAAATATAGTTAAATATATAGTAATTAGACATAACTATTGTATCCTGTTACAGTAATAAATATTAAAATATAATTATTGACAATCGGTAACTATAAACCTTTTCCCAAACCATCCATTTTTGCGCGCAATTTGATCGCGAATCAGGGAGAGATTACTGTATTTCTATTTATCGAAACAGAGCGAGAAATAATTAACTTGCTATTATACATTCTCCAATTTTGCAAGCGTATTTATTTTCCCTCCGATTACAGTTCAGAATTAGACAGCAGCTCGAAGAAGTGTCCGCGTGATCAACGTTCTAGCCACGCCAGAAGTAATGAGGGACAATCAAAGCGAACGAACCGAATAAATTGCACCGTCACTTTTAATCAGTTCATCCTACCAGGATGACTCGAATATTCGGCGGACTCTTTCGGCTACAAGAATGCATCTCCCGGAGGCTCCTTAGCTAAATGAAGTTTCGGAATTCATTAGGAGGACTTGGCCCTGCAGCGACATTTTACCCTAAGCTCAACTGCTAAATCGTTCCACCGTTAGAATAACATTTCACATATATCACACAAATTAAGAAGAAAATATAATCACCCATAATCTCCCTCCACATTTCTGACCAAGACGTTACGTGCGATTACTATAAAATGTCTGGCAATGTTTCCTGAGAATTTGGAAACTGAAAATGAGTCAGTTTATTCATTTTCAGTTTATTAATATTCAATTGTCAGTTTATTAATCTTCTCTGTATGCGTTGATTCGGACTCGATTTGCCTCTTTTACATACACATTTACGCAACACAAAACTTTGGTGCCTGTACAGCTGAACTGTGTACAGAGTTTCCCGAAAACGTCTCCTATCCGGAAATGCTGGGTTCCCGGGGTCATTTGAAGCAACTTTTTCCTTAGCGAAAATGCGATCCGCGGCTTCGTTTCCAAGTTATCAGCGAAAAACGGTGACCAATGCGAGATCGCGCACGGCTGACGCTCCGCCCTCGCGACCACTGCCGCTGCGCAGATGGCCAGCGCGACGCGGCAGTGACCGCGAGGGCGGAGCGCCAGCTAATCTCGCCACTCATTGGTCTCTGTTTTTCGTTAATAACTCGTTAACGACGCCTCGGAGAGATATTTTGTAAAGGAAAAAGTTGCTTCAAATGACCTGAGGAACCATCCTGTGCACAGCAACTGTGAGAATTTTACTCTCAAATGTACAATCGCCTTAATATCGGTAGAGACTGGATAAGCTAAAGGATCTATTGTAGCAGCAAGAGCTTCGCGTTACCCAGAAGCCTCGTCGTTGATGGAGTCTCGAGGCATAGAACACCGCTCTAGTGAATCGGCAGTATAGAAAGATCCGGTCGTTGCTGACTAATTCAACAGCACGCTCTCACCCTTTCGAACCCGGCCTCACCCGGAAGCGCGGGCCTCCATTAGCATACAAATATTTCATCCCCGATCGACTCGGTCATTGGATGCATCCAGGCGTTAGTATGCAACCCGTGGAACGTAATATTGGCCGACAGCCGATAATCTGGATCAAGAATTCGTAACAATCGCGAGTCGACGCGGGCCACGTACATACACGGTTTAGCGCGTACAATGGTTTTGCATCGCGGGAGGCCGCGACGTAGGACACGTGACCCAATTTCCCCGTTCCTGGGACCAACTCGAACGCGTTTCAAATTAATTCCCCGGCCCGCCGGTAATAACGAAACGTCTACGAGCCCCGCGGAGCGATCTCCGCGTGTCGGGCAATGTTATTACCGTGCGTCGACGGGAGGCGACGCACCGACAACCGAACACGGTCGTTGGCAAACTCGAATCGGGACACCGAAATGCTCCGAACAGCTGTTCCACCCTCCTGCGTGCACCATTCGGGTAAATCGCGACGTATTATGTCGGAAGAAACGGCACTTTGTTGCGGCGAATTTTTGGATTCTTTCCGAAGACGGAAAACTGTTTTCGTAAAAGGAAACGTACGGTAGAATGTTAATTTTCAATGGAATTTGCAAGATCTGTGTAGGAATAAATATATAGCAGGGGCTATTAATATTATAATAAAGTTAATTTTGTAATATATAACAGACTATTAATTTTATAGTAGAGTTTGCAAGATTCGTGGAGAAATAAATATATGGTAGAATGTTAAATTTTAATAGCGAATGTGGGAGTCGTGTAAAAATAAATATATTATAGAATGTTAATTTTCAATGGAATTTGCAAGATCTGTGAAGGAATAAATATTTAGTAGGCTATCAATTTTATAATAAAGTTAATTTTGTAATATATAGCAGACTATTAATTTTGTAGTAAAGTTTGCAAGATTCATAGAAAAATATAAATATATGGTAGAATGTTAATTTTTAATAGCGAATGTGGGAGTCGTGTAAAAATAAATATATTATAGAATGTTAATTTTCAATAGAAATTGCAAGATCTGTGNCAATAGAATTTTTAATATTCGTGTTAAAAATAAATATATAGTAGAATGTTCATTTTAATAAAATAAATACATATAGAAGACTGTTAATTCTCCTCTGTAAATTCCGATAAAAAGAAATATGTACTAAAATGATCGTTCATGTAAAACTAAGATAATATAAAGTAAAGTAAAATAAATAAAATAAAGTAAAATAACGCAAACTGTATCTAAAAGTTTAACAGAAGATATTAACAGAAATTCCGACAATATCAAAGCCATTTAATTAAGGAAACTAGATAGTAAAAATTTGTCACGGTGGCTGTTATTTTAATAGCATAATAACGAGAATTTCAAATCCTTGTTAGAAATTAGTGGAATTAGTAGAAATCAGCCATGTGTGACCGACGCGGCACTCAACGAGTTAACAATGTCGGATTGAACGAAACAATGAAGCAACAGCATGAAACAATAGCAAAATATTGAAAAACGTGAATCTTACAACAATATCGTTAAGATCGAGAAAGGAATGAATGAAATTTGCGTCCGTTTTCGCAGACGTTCTATGGCACACGTGGTTTAAGAGACTGGCAGTAACACTCGCGAGTATCGTTTCAACTCTGCAAATGACTTTTCCCGTCGTTTTCCACCCGGCTCGCGATTAGGTAATGTTGTTCCAAGGGTGTCTGAAGCTCAGCCGTCCTTTCATGTAGCCGTCAGTGTCAGTGGCCCAACGGAGCTCGGAGCCGGAGTTTGAAAAGAAAGAACTTCTAATTGTTGACTTTAAAGGGGGAAGCTTCTGTTTGCAGAGTCTACGATGAAACGGCGAACGGATGGACAAAAGAACGAAAGTCGGGGAATTTTCTTTCATGGACTGGTCGATCGCATTTCTTCGAGATCATGGTCTTACCAGTCTTTGATGGGAGATCGAGGAGGGAGAGAATTAGAACGGGGACGCGCAGAATACTCGCTGTTCGAACGATTTTCTAAAAAGAAAAGAACGATTGCTGAATACACGCGTGTAATAATATGAGGCTCTTTTTTGTGGAAAATGATTATTCGATATTTTTTTCAAATATTATGGGTATTCGAATTTTAGGAATTCACGAAACTGTACATTTTTAATAGTGTTGTAAATTGTGTAATATATATGAATAATATAAGGGTAGTTCTTTATGCCAAATTTTAATTTGCTTCGTTATGAACATTTCACTAAATTGTAGGAATTCAAATTTTAAGAATTGACATAAATCGT